CACATTGTTGCTAACTCCATTGATTTTTGGTATGTCTATGAAAGCTTTCATCAATGCAATGCATTAGGAAAGAAAGCTCGGGCAGTAAATTTAGTTTGTTTCTCTGTTAAGCTTTATTTGACTTGAGGGGTACATGTCTGACAACTAAGTTAGTTTCCATTTCTATCCATCTTGTCCAAATAACTAAGTAAACTGTAATTGCCTTCATACATTATAGGAATTCCCATTTCCCAAGCTAAGTGTTTTAAAAGGTCAAGTTTTCTTCATACTCGGTGTTCCTTTTAGTCATCAAAACTCAATAACACATCAGATAAGCTTGAAAAACAAGTTATGCTCCATTTAGTTCTGGTGAGATTATTATCTCTGCGTTGAGATGGTTGCATAGATGCACTCGGATTATGATTATGATTAGTTTTGCTGGGTTAGTCAGTTTCTTGAAAATCTCCATAATGGGTTTCTTAAATTGTTGTAGAAGTGGAAATGATGCTGTGGTTCATTTTGAAAGTTAAGTCATTGGGTATTTATCAAATTTTGTTGATTACTAGACAACTGCGCATGGTCACACTCCTGTTTGTCATTTCTACTATTGTCCTCCATAAAAATGACACCAGTACTTTGCTAGAAAAAATGAAAACATGTTCTGTGTGTTTTGAAATTATGGCAGTGTGTTGTAAAGCTACACTAAAATGTTTAAGAAAGACTTAGTTAAAGTTGAAGGGTGGTAGTCATGCGATATTCAAGTCTCGTATAAACAAAGATGGCGACTGACTGTTGCGCAGGTCAATGAGTACAAACTGAGTCGTTATCAAGCTTTAATTAGGTATTATTTTTAGGTACTGAAGGTGTCACTGGTGGTAATTAGTGCAAGTCAAGCCCAGCTCAAACCTCATACTTTGAATTTTCATTATAAGTACGCATTGGACTGTGGGAAAATCAATGTTTATCAACACAAATGTTGCACATGCGCAGTGCGATGACCACCGCCCTTTAAAATAATGGCATATCAAACAAGTCTACCATAATTCTTTTCATTGATAAAAATCCTATGTTACCGTAATCTGATATTTGTTTCCATATTTAAATCAAACTCGATTTTTCATGTCATATTCTAACAATTCTAGAGATTTTCACCCCCCCCCCCCCACACTGCTACAAAATTTCACAATTTTCATGAATAGCCAATTTCATAAAGATGACATTCTGTAAAATTTCAAACAAGTTTACTTGTGTACAGAATTATTTTCAATTTGATCATTTGGTTAAACATATCACATGGCTGGTTTTGACCAATCACTGGTTTGAGTATTTAATAATAATCCAGTTGCCTGTATTCCAATGATGCTTTTCAACCAATCAGGTTTCAGACAAATATCACATGACTAATTTAAATCCTTAACTCAAGTCATTTGAGAAAACTTGTTTTTTTTAAAGAGTTACAGCAGAATTAACGATTCTTTTCTTGTTTATCACTGCTCATCACAAACGGAGTAAATTAATAAAAAAAAAATTAGGTCGTTGAAATTTATTATTTTTAGCAGCAAGATAACTGACGCCAGACAGGTGATATTTTTGTTATCAGTGACGTCATGGTTTCCTATTTTCACTACTTTATTGTATGGAATGTTAGATACAATCAGATAACCCTGGGTCTTGGTTACATTGAATTATCTTCCATTCTTCAGTAATGAAGTACTTCCTTGTTAGTTGTTAATAGGTATAGGATGCATGCTTTTTAGTTTTGTTCAAAAGCAGATGTCAGAACTCGTCTTTGTTTAAGTGCTATTGATTAGAGTAAGTGGAAAATCGCATCACCTTCAAACTTAGTGATGGTTTTTTCTTGCAAAGGATGTAAATAAATGCACGACTCGATGAAACGTATCAATTTTTAGCTCCGCTGTTGACTTTGTCAAGCGGAGCTTATCATATGATTGTCCGTCGTCGTCGTCCGTGTCAATGTTTTACTTTTTCGACTTCTTGAAAACTACAAGCCTGAATGCTTTGATACTTGGTGTATATGTACCTTGGGTAGACCTCTCTTAGGTTTGTTCATTTCATGTTGATATCTTCAATTCTCTAATTTTGGTGAATATTTTTGTCATTTTTGGTAAAAGTGATATTTTCGACTTCTTGTTAAAAACCGCAAGTCCGATTGCTTTGATATTACATATATAGGTACTACATGTGGACCTCTCTCAGATTTGTTCGTTTTGTGATGATATCTTTAATTCTCTAATTTTGGTGAATATTTTTGTCATTTTTGGTAAAAAGTGATATTTTCGACTTCTTGTAAAAAATCACAAGTCCAATTGCTTTGATATTACATATATAGGTACTACATGTGGTCCACTCTCGAATTTGTTTATTTCATGATATTTTAAATTCTCTAATTTTGATGAATATTTTTATCATTTTTGGTAAAAAGTGATATTTTCTTCTTGTTAAAAACCACAATCATTTATGGTGAAAAATGATATTTTTGAATTCTTGTTGAAAACAGCAAGTCCCATTGCTTTGATACTATACATATTGTTCATTTTCTAATGATATCTTCTGTTCTTTAATTGAAATGTGCATTGCTAACAGCGGAGCTGTCTCAGCCGATAGGCTGCTTGTTTTATCTCCATATAAAGAATACCTGTCTATAATGACCATTTTAGTGAAATCCCTTGGGCGGTCACTCTAGTTTTGACTGCAGTTGCAGTGTACATACATGTACATAACACTGATTAACCTCTTAAACCATCGCTACAATAGTTTTTTCTAGTTGAATGCATGCTTTGTATATTCATATGAGAGAATACGGAAAAAAAGTAAATTTGATATTTTTGAAGAAAAAAACCTCTACTACATCCTTAAAATAACATTCTGATAAAGTTCTTGAAAGATTTGACTGAATTCAGAAGCATTACTTCTAGACAATATGGGTAAAGATTTCTGAATTTTGTGTGAAATCCTAGCAAGGGGATTTTTTGCAACATATCAATAATGATCCGTAACAAAGTTGTGTTTTTCTTTCTATCAATGTTTGATATGCTGCACATCCTTGTTTTCATTAATTCTCAGTCCAAGTCTGATGTTTTTAATTTATTCGTCATAGTACAGTGAATTTCATTAAAGCATGAATGTTTTGATGGAAATTTATATAAATATTTATCATTTATTTATTATTGCACTGGAAGACCCTTATGCTACATTCAAATCAAAAGAAGATGCTTTCATTGGCTGCAGAAGCCATTTGGTAATGCCCATTACCCATGAGTCTTTGTAGGTTTTTTTTCACCCAATAGCCTATTTACTACTATGTATGCAAATTATATTTCACCTACTAACCACTAGGCATTCTGATTGGTCAAAGTATTCTCAAACATTTGTAATATTTTATATTAAAAACAATCATGCCTACATGAAATTTACTGTAGCATACAAATATTCTATCATATAGAAAAAAATGTCCATGGTGTTAGGATCAATTCTTGAGCTCACATGTCTAGCAAGTCAGAGAATAATCTACATATTTGTAAATTTGTGCTTCTTGGGGGTCAAACATTTGAAATCATTGGGGTGGCTGAAATTTTATTTCTGTGATGTTTTGTGTGTACATTTTTCTTTTTTTCATTTTGCCAACAATTGTTTCTGCAACACCTCGCATGTATTTTTGTTTCTCTCGGTATCTAACTTGCAATTTTTTTTTAAACAACCCCTCATGATTTCAAATGGTTGATCCCTTAATCTTGTTCTCCCATCTTATTTTAGTGGTCTGCTTTGAGCCCACCAAGATGGAGAAAAATATTTTATCACATGTTTTGTGCATTGGGTGGAGTGATGTACGGGTTATCGATTGTGACTCAAAGTGTACAGTTGGACTTTATACTTAGCGAATTGCCATGGCTGATGGGAAGGTATGTATGAGAACAGGGTAAACATACATTTGTTGTACACAGTGCATTGTCACTGGCTGATGACAATGTGTATATGAGAACAGGGTAAACTGTGATTGTGCCCATGCGTTTCAATGGCTGATGGGAAGGTGTGTATGGGAACATGGTAAACTGAGACAATTGTGCAACTGCATTACTATGGCTGATGGGAAGGTATATGGGGAACAGGGTTAAGAGAGACAGTTGTTCTCAATGCATTACAATGACTGATGGGAAGATACATTGTATGTATTTGAACAGGGTAAACAGCCAATTGTTCAATCTTGTGTTGTGATGGGAATACACTGCATTAGCCACAGTAAGCTGGCGCACAAGCAAAAATAAAATGAATGCGATTTTTATTATATGGGGGG